TTCTGTGAAATTTTCTTTTTGTAACAATAAGATACTTATACCGACAAGTTTTAATCGAAGTTTTTTTTTTTTGGAACTTGTGGCAGCGCTAAGGGTGGCGTGACCTATTTTATCCAATTGGAGATGGTATTTCATGCATCCAATCAGAACTTGGGGGGAAATTAGGGCTCCCCAAATTTTGGTCTATTACTCCCCCATTAAGTCCTCCGCTACGCTCCGGACAATTACTGATTAATTATCGATGCAGTTTGGGCTTTCAATTTTATAACAAACGTTAAAATAAAATGTCTATTAACGTTAACGTATAATTTAAAGCCCGATCTGCATCATTACTGAGCTCGATAATTAATAATATACTTAATTGCCGAGGTGCCTTTTTCCTTGGCGTCACTCATATAGATAAATCTTATTTATCAAAGTTTATAAATAAAAAGGTTTAAAATTTAAATTATAATAGATTTAGATCGCAGATAATTATGCTCTAAGTCTCTAGTTTTAATATTCTTTAAATATAAAATTCAAATATAATTTCTTTCCTCTATATCTATTTCTGTTAAGTTCAATTGAATTTCAATAAGTTAAAGGCATGTTTACACCGTAAAAATTAAAAATTTTAAATTATAAACTTTAAATGATAAACAATCTAATTTTAACAAATATTAAATTATAAATTTAAATTACTTGAATACAGTATTTAAATCTAATTTAATACGAGTTAAAATATTATTTAAAAAAAAATAATAATTTTTTAATAAATTTGAATAGATAAAAATAATATATATATAATATAATATATACAAATATATATATAAGTAACTATATAAAATTTTATAGTATATAGTTTTAAAATTATGTTCTATATAATCTAGATTTAACCATTTGCAAAATTATCAAATCACAAAAGCTTAGTTCAACCTAATTAAAGCTATACAAGAAAAAGTAAGCGAAACTATCTAATAAAGGCCAATATAATAAATTTTTTTAATTTGTAATATTTTGCAAATTTATAATTGCATAAAATACGTAACTAAGTCAAGCATCATTTTGTTACATTATCGATGTTGGTAGGCATGCGTATATATTAATTAAAATTTATTGTTTAACTTGGCTAAAGATATATAATTTATTTTTTTTTTTAAAATTTACCATTATCCACGTCTCTTACCCTTGCTAACTGTTATAAACCCATCCTCATCAGCTTCAGGTTCAGCCGAAAATTCCGGTTTCAATATACGAGTAGGACCTCGTGAAGACGTTGAAGATTGCTCAGAATCCTCTCCTTCTTTTGATCTCCATGAATCTTCGCGCGATCTTAGTTTACTATCTCCACGATCATTAGTTGGTGGACCACCTCGTCGCCAACTACCTGATTCCTCACGTGTTGTAGTAGCAACTGAAGTACGACGCCAAGATTTATCTTCGGTAGTCGAGGTTCCACGTCCTGAATCAGATCGCCGCCATTCCATTTCTTCTGCACGGCGAGGAACATCAGACCGACGTTTATCAGTTTCGTCTGCAGTGTTACTGCGACTTGAATCTGATCTACGCCACGAAGTTTCTTCAGTTAGCTGAACCGAACGCCGTTGTTCCTCTGGAGCAGTTGAACGACCCGACCCGGTTCTGCGCCATGGTTGTTCATCTTTACTAGGTGTTTCACTTGATCGGCGCCATGCACTAGTTTCATCTTTAGCATCAGTTGTGCGACGCCAACTTTCCGAACGACGAGCTGGAGGAACATAGCCAGAACTTCTTTCTTCCAACTTCCGACGTCGATCTTGTTCTTCTTTTTCAGCACGCTCACGCTCTTTCTCCTCTTGCATACGTTTTCGCCTTTCTTCTGCTTGACGTTCAACCTCTTGTTGTCGTCTGGCTTGTTCATCAAGCTTCCTATTTGATTATAAGTGATCAACCAAGATGCGAATAAAGAAACAATATAAAAGCATAAGTAATACCGTTTCTTTTCTAGATACTCTGCATCTTCTCTTTCTTTCTTGACACGGCGTTCTTCTTCAAGACGCGCGAGCTCTGGTTTATTAAAAAAGCGATTACTTGTAACAACTGGTTATATGATTTTTAAATCAAATAAAATGATAAAAACCTTCGGCACGACGCCTTTCTTCTTCTTCTTCTTTTTTCATAGCTTGCTCTTCTGCTTCCCTTTTCAACCTTTCTTCTTCTAATTTTGCTAAAACCATTTGCCGTCTTTTTTCCTTTTCTTCTTCAATTTTAGCTTGAGCAGCTTTACGACGTCGTTCGAATTCTTCGTAGCGCCTATTTTCAATTTCTGATCGATATTTTTGATAATCTGGTAAGATTCTCATTAGCCTCTCTTTTAATTTAAGATCTTCTGTATGCTTAGCAAAAGCTGTTTCAAGTTGTAATTTACGAGCAGCTTCATGATATGCTCTATCGGTTTTTCTTTGTCGGTCGTAATCTTTTTCTAAAAGAGGGATTTCCTCTTTACGATAAGCACGTTCAAGGTGATCCATGCGCTTAGCTGTAGCTCTGAGACGTTCATTAAGTTCGCGTTTTTCTTTTTCAAGCCGTTCAACTTGAAGTCTAACAATCTTATCTGGGTCCAATTTATCCAACTCCTTAATGATAAAATGTAATGATAAAATGTAATGATAAAATGTAATGATAAAATGTAATAATAAATATTATTATAACCATCTTATAAATTTATACTTTGATTTGTTAATTGCAATTTATCCTTACATCTGGTTCAAGTTTTAAATTTTGAAGTTTAAAAGTTTCTGCCAATTTACGAGCTTCCTCTTTTTGAATGGCCTCACGCTCACGTTTCTTCCTCTCTTGCTCACGCTTCTTCGCCTCTTCCATTTGACGTTGTTTTAGTTCTTCATCTCTCTGTTTTTGGCGAATAGCTCGCTCACGCTGTTCTTCCTTCTCTTTGCGCATTAACAATGTTTCCACTAATTCTCTCCGTCGCTCAATAATAGCCTTTCGCGCAAGTGCATTATTATGTTCTTCTTCCATCCCAGCCAAAGCACGTGAAAGAGCCTGCGCTCTAGCGTTTTGTTTTGCTTCAATAATAGTAGGATCTATCATATGGACGGTCGTATAAAAACATTTGGCAAGTCGTGAAAGTTGATCACGCATCCTGTCTGCTGGTGAAGCTTGCAATTTGGCACCATCAGCATCAGCATTTTTAGAAGCTGCAAATAAGTCGGTCTCAAATGTTAAACTACTAGTTGCATGATCAATACGAATTGATAATTCTCCCTTTTTACACCCGTTCATAATAAATTTTTCTATTGTTGCAGCATCATAATTATATGGCGGTGCAAATGACGCAAGATTGATGACAAAGTCAAGTTTAACGCTGTCATAAACTTGCGATAACTGTTGAAAGAGTCGTGTCAATATAACTTGGTGCAAGGGTTTAACATATTTCGCCATTTCAGTATCCTGTGAGAGATGGTTCATTATAGGTTCAATCTTTTTACAAATTGACAAAGGATGAAATTGGACTTCTAAAATGTTGTAAAGCTCTCTCAGCTCTGGACGGACTCGGCGCAGAATATTCTTATTGAGCTAAACGGAAAGAATTAGTGGAAACATTGTTAATGCGCAAAGAGAAGGAAGAACAGCGTGAGCGAGCTATTCGCCAAAAACAGAG